TGTGTTTATGTGTGTTTGTGTGTGTGTGTGTGTGCGCGCGCGCTCCACCCTACCCATTCCTATCAGACCATTTATATCGTTACTCTTTTCTCTTCTTCGCCCCATCCTAGAGCCCACCTCTTGTGACCGTGGCAGAGGGAGGTCCACCTTACGTCATCACAGGCATAATGAAGGAGCTGTTTCCAATGCTCATGGCCTACCTTAATCGCTGGTGAGACTGGTTCTTTGTTCTTGTAGAAAAATCGTTTCTGGAGTAGCAAAGAGTGTTGAAATCAGTGTAACATTATAGTATACTACTAGCGATTCAGAACGTATATTATGATCGTTAGTAATTACTGATTACGTATTTGATATTTTCCATACGATCTCTATAGGTCTATGGTTTCTCATAAGCGTATCTAAGGTTTCTATAAGGTCTCTCTAATTCCTAATTTTCCCTTGTTTCTTCTTTTTATTTGGCAGCTACGAGTGGGTGGTCCCTGAACCGCGACTGTACGGCCACAAGCTACCTAACGGGTCATGGCAGGGCGTGATCGGTCTTGTTGCTCGCGGGGTGAGTCTCTCCTTGCTTACTTGTTGATTACTTGCAAGCTGCAGGGGAGATGACCCTGGGCTTTGTTTAACATTCACTCGGGTACATAGAAAACATTCACGCCCCAGTATATGGTGTAAAACTTCTCTCATTCTATTTCGTCCAAGAAGCCATGAGATTGTTGTTTTTTTCTATGCTAACCGGATTATCACTTAAATCAGTTATAGTATAATGACCACAATTTTGTAGCTGTTGTTATCATTACCTGTTAGTAACATAAAGTCAAACTCGTCTCATACCCAAAAAGCTAACATACCAGAACCATCATACGTCATATCGGAAACATTATACGCAATATGTGCTACATATATGCTTCATTCCCCCGCAGACCACAGCCGAATTCTAAGCAAAACCACGTAATATCGAAAAAATCCAAAGAATAACAAGTCTTTTTACTTTTTCTCTTCAGGAAGCTGACATCTCTGTCCCGCTCAGCATCACCACAGAGCGTCTCACAGCCATCGACTTCACAGAACCGGTTTTCATTGACGAATTCGCCATTGCCTACAAGCTGCCGAGCCTGAAATCCGACATTAGGGGTTTCATTAAGCCTTTTTCACCCACGGTATGGTTTATTGGCTTGAGTTGTTGGTCCTCACTGACTCCTTCACTGTCATGATTTTTGTTATCAGTAATTATCATAATTTCTATAGAATACTGTTGATGATGAATATGATCAAAATAATTAAAAGTTATTATTATTTGATGATTATTATTATCATCATCATTATCATTGTTATCATTATCATTATAACTATTATTATCATTGTTATCATTGTAACTATCATTCTCATTATCATTACTATTCTTATTATTATCTTTATTATCGATACCAGTATTATCATCTTTAATATGATCATTATTATATTTGTTACCATAAAAATTATTTATATCATTATCATCCTCATTATTATCTTTTATTATCATTACTATTGGTACTATCATTTTTATTAGTATTATAAGTATTGTTTTATTATTAGTAGTATTGTCAGTATTATTATCATTATCATTAAAATTATTATTATCATTATTATTATTATCATTATTGTTATTATTAATATTAATTTTATTTTGTTATAATCATCATTATTATCATTATCAATATTATTATTATCATCACTATTATTATCATTATTACTATTATCATTGTTATTATCTTTGATATCACTATTGCTATTACCATTACCATAGCTATCATTATTATTGATAACATAATTGCCACTCATGATGCTGATTATCATTATTATGATAATCATTAAATTGTCATTATGATTGTTATCATTGCCATTGATAGTATGATGATGATGATTATCATTATTATAATAATCATTGTATTGCCATTATCATCATCCTCATCCTCATGAACACCATCCTCCTCCTCCTCCTCATCATCATCATCATCGTCACTTCTTTTAATCCTTATCATTATCATTACAAATGCTAGCATCCTTATCCTTATCATCGTTATGATAATTATTATTACCGATAATATCCTGAAAATCATAGTTTACGATCATTGTCACTGATGTTGCTCATATTCTTAATTGCGAATAATTATGTTACTATAACTGTATTTTATCGTTTATTGTATCATTTTAAATACTAATACCTTCATCAAGAGTAATATTACCATTAGGATTGTTATTATCAGTATTAGAAACCATTGGTTTACTGATTTCATTATCAATGCTAATAGAATCATCAGCATCATGATAATTGAATTAATTTTTGGTATCAATGATACCATTGGTATTGCTAGTACGATTATTATTATCACTAATTGCCATTGCTGGCTCACAGTTTTCATCATCAATGGTGATATCATCATTATCATCGTTATGATTGTAATTAGCTGATACTGCTTCACCATTATCTTTTCAACAGCTGTGGCTCATGATGCTCTTGGCT